AAAAAGCTTTTTGACAGTGCCCATTTATCAGGAGCAGGCAAGATATAGAAACTCAACAGGGTCTTGTGTCTCAGGCGTTAGGGATACCGGCCCAAGAAGGACTAAAGCATTGTGTGTTAGTATGTATTGAGCCTCCTTCCAGGTGGCAAACAGCTGCACCTTTTTATCAAACTCCAAAAATAAAGCTGAAGTGCTTGCTTTCAACCGCCAAGTGTTATATTTAATTGAACCGTTCTGCGAATGTTATAGCTCGGGCGCCCAGAGAGATGGCGAACATTTAATATATTTGTTTTTTATTTCCACCGGGCCGACAGAATAATGAAATTCCTTAACTACTTCTCTTTAACTTGGCTGAAGAAAGCACGGTATGTTGCTAAATCGCTTTTCACTGGCCCTGCCGAGAAACAACTTTAATCCTTGTTAGAAAAATTGCAGAGTCTGGGCCTGACAAAGAGCTCATGCCCGGCGCATTGTGAGTGCTGGGAGCGGGGCGAGGGGAGCCCTTTACAGCTGCGTGCCTCCAGCCCGCCTCAGCTGGACTATTTAGGCGAGGAGGTTTGTCAATTCCTCCCGACAATGGGGCGAGTTTTTCAGTGCCTGTAGCCGCGCCGAGCCCCGTTGGGGATCAATGCTGGCCATTCAAGCTGCACCCTCTTTCATTGCTTTGGTTTGTTAATTTAAGACTAAAGGTCCACTGAGGGGGTTTAGGGTGTTTAAGAAAGCTGATGAACTGTTTAAGAAATCTGATGAACTGAGAGCGTTTATAGCCCTGGTGTGGCAACTATTGGCACTGAGGGAGCTGTGTCCTTGTTGACCCTCTTGTTATTAAAAATGCACAAGTGCTGCGCTTCTCAATATTTCAACACTCTAAATACCACCTTCTGAGCCCTTCAGCTTGTTGCTTGCTCTAAAGATCTTCTTAGATTGGGTTTGAAAACTTCACCTTAAACACTAGATTAGACTGATGTTCTGTTTTCCGTGCTCCTGTTGATTTGTTGAACCTTCCCAGGGCTGGAAAGCAAGTAGCAGCTTGGTGGGGAGACCGGCTGCTAATATGATTTACCAGTCTACAGTCATGCACAATAAGTGTGAATAAATACAGGGGTCTCACAGAGTCAAGCCTAGCCTTTCCTTTTCTCTTATTTTTTACTTTAAAAGAGGTATCTCAGCAAAATGAAGTGAGTAATGCATGCCCTTACAGGAGCTGGATGAGCTATGAATAAGAAGAGAGGGGGAAATATGGAGGCAAACGTATTTTTGTTAAAGTGGTTGGCCGCTGTTACATGCTGATGTGAAAAAAAAAAAAGTATAATAAACACTTACTGTTGTATTCCCGTGTAGACGACAGCAAAGAATATGTCACTAATACCGCATAATTGACATCTGCAAGAGGTGCATTGTCCTTTCAGTGCTATTGTTACTAGTGGGAAAGTGACTTTTTCTTAAAACCAGTCAGAAGAGTTTTATTTTTTTTAATTACTATTATTTAAAAACTGTGTTATCTCTGGACCATTATCTAACCACTGAAGCTTGTGAGTTTGGAATAGATTCCACTAAGTCACAGTAGGTGCATCCCTGCCTCCATAACATGCTCCTGGTTGTCAAAATGTGTGGCCTAGGATTCCACCTCTGAGAGATATTCGCAGTTCTGTGCATTTTAGCAGGCTCCAAAAGTAGGGATGGGGAAGTAATTACTTTTCTTAGGAAGTCCAGCAGATTTATGTTTATGCAGCTTCGGCCTATACTAAGTGCTCAAAATTAGCCAGTATAAGGCCAATAATGAACAGAAACTATATCCACAAGTAACTCTAGGAGGACGCTAAAAAATACACTGAATGTGGTTTTTATTAAAAATACTATGAAAATTCAAAATAAGAATACATCTTTTTCTAGTACGATAGCAGTCACATTTTTTTCTGAAGAAGGTGTGTTGGCAGAGAAGCAAGTACCATAGTATTATTTCACAATCAATTTCACATTTCTATCGCAAGGTTAACGCATCAAAACTAGTCAGGAACACACATTGTACTGTTTTCATTCGCAAATTCAAGTAGCAGAATTAATTCCCTCCAGTTTCTTAGATTTGTTTTCAGTGCACGTAGGCGTATCACAGATAAGTATGGAAAGTCTGATTTCTACTGCATCCGTCTTAATTAAGTTTTCTGACTGGACTTTAAAACATGTTTTGCCAGAAAACTTGGACTGGGTCTATTCTCAGTAATCTGGCACCGTTCAGTGGTGTTGCATGGGGAAACCAATCACAGAATTTTCAGTCTTTTCTGTAGTTTGTTCATGTGAGGAAGTTTGAGTCCCTTCAGCTTCTACTTAATACAAACTGAGTGCACTGTGGATGCATTATTGGATATTTTTTATGAAAGAGTATCAGCTTTGAGAAAACTCCACCACTAAAACCATTCTCTCTCTCGTGATTATGTTAAACAAATGTAGAGTGTAAGTGATAATATTACTTATCTTACTGCAAATAACAATAGGTAGTCAGAGTAGAATGTTTGGCATATGAGGTTTTATGTTTATTAGATCAATAGAGTCCCCCAAGTGCATAAGCTCAACTGTATTTTATTTTCTAGATATCTGTGTATACATGCAACACCTGTCGTATAGTTTACAGCTGCCACTTAGTAACAACATCAAAATATTTTACGAGTACAAAGGAAATCAAAACCAGCATACGTGTTTGGAGGGAAAAAACGTAAATAGTATAAGAATGACATTCAGTGACAGAAAAACAGTATTTTGTGGATACTGGATCAGTCCCCATTGTATTGAACAGATGAAATTACTTTTATGAAATGTACATCTGTCTGCATTTGTGTGGTGTAAAATAGTAAATTAATAGGAGAAACTCTAAAAAACATAAAAGTAATTTATTTCTAGTGATTTATAAGTAAAAAGCATTTTAACATATTAAGCAAAATAAATGGAAGCCATTATTATATGAAAATCTTATTTCAACCTTATCTTAAAACTGATAGCTACCATGAAGTGAGACTTGTTCCTGTAAGGAAAAGCATTTACATAGATTTACTGTATGTCTTTAAAGCTTTTACCAGAGACCTTACATTTTGATGAAACAATTCTGTTTCTGTCTTTTGTTACATCCAGTAGCCCGTAATTTTTCTTCATTTTTTCAATATATATTTTATTTTATTTGTTAATGCAGAGGTAGCTAATGAGACATGTTAGAATTAATTCACGATGCATACCTTGCCTAAAATGCTGCATTTTTAAATATGCACGCTGTTTCCTCTCTTTGCATATCTTTGTATTTTGTGAAGACACAGGAAATTACATTAGAAAGAAATTTAAGCCTCTTCCCTGTGGGGAAAGGCTAGAAACAGAGCTACAGCACAAACTCTTTTAATCTCTCACTGCTAAAATGAAAAAAAAAAATCGCTTCCTTTTTACAGTTTGACTAAGTGACATCTGGTTGGTATTTTACAGGAGGGGGAGGAAAACTGCTACAATTATGTTTAGTAAATCTCTTTTAATCCAGTTAATGTGAAAGAACTATTATAGTAGCTATTTGGATCTGAGCATTTTTTTACGGTAACATAGACACCAGCAGCAGAGAGCTTATTCTTGCCCCATCCGTTTGTGAAGCTTTGAGTGAAAACACACCCATGCCTAAGACATAAAAAGGAAATAAGGTAGGCTGTAATTGTAATTAGCAATTAACGTAAAGCAAAACCTTAACATGGATATTTTGGGAGGGGTGAAGCGGTCATTTTGATCTTACAGTTTCTGTGGATTTCTGAAAATTTTTACTTGACACAGAAGCGAGTTAAAAGAAAAAAGCAAGACATTCCGTATTCTATGTTTGATGCTATTTTCCCATTTGGTTTATAAAACCTAGGTGTTTCAAATTCTCTCTCAAGATACCCTACCTGTTTTTCCCTTGTTGCTTTAGCTGTCAATTTTCTCATGTAATTGTATATTTAATATCCATTCCTACTGACAGTTAGCGAAGTGCATGGTGCTGTTTTGCTTGAAAATGTAACTGAAAGATGAAATGGCAGTTGCTAATTCATGCAAAGAACAGTGTAGGTCAAGTTATTTGATTTCCTACTGACCCATGCAATTCTCTTAACAGGAAATTATATCATTGTTGACTTCAAGTGCTGATCCGTGATCATTTCTAAGTGTTTCATTACCTCTCATTATCAAATCTGTTAAATGAATACTGCAGGGTTGTTTGTTGTTTTGGGTTGGTTTTTTTATCCTTCATTTCAGCAATGGTACAGCAGCTCCATGAAAGTCATATGCATGTGGTTGGCGGATAGATTAGACCTGCAGCTTCACATCTACCAGCTGAAGACGCTCATCAAGATAGTGAAGGTAAATAAAGCGTGTTTGTGTCAGGCAGCACAGTAGAGAGACAAGAGTGATAAAGTGTTAACATAGATAAGTGTAGATCACGCTGAAAGTTAAAAAATGTGGAATAAAGTTGCAAATTCCTGTAGTTTAGGTTGGTATTTTTTGTCTTCACAGTTGTTGCAGTTTTCAAAAGAAAAACAATTTCTTAAAATCTCTGATGTGAATTATTCATGCAGTGGTAATTGTCGTTCATTCTGGACACAGTGCAAATTAAGATTATCCCAAGAAGTTTTAACATATTACTACTAGCTGTACAGCAATGCTGTATAGCATTCCTAATAAATTATTGTTTGCCATTTTACTGATGGGGTTTTTTTTGTTTACCTCAATAAACCCCATAGCGTCCTTTCTTCGTTTTTCGCACTGTCCTAAAATGTTTTTCATGCACATATGATTTACTAGGTTCAACTGGAAAACAATATTCAATATATTAGATAGTATTTTCTAACCTTTTATACTCTGGGATGAGTATCGATAGAAATATCAATCCCTCCAGTCTGGTCCTCTGTCGTTTACACTGGCCAATGTTAAATGCTTCAGAGCAAAGTGTAAAATGCCTTGCAATAGACAATTATGGGTTAACTTACCATAAAAGAAAGTTTCCTCCTAAATCTCTTTCAGATCTTAGTTAATACCCTTAGGCAAGAGACAGAACACCATTTCAAATTTTTTGTTCCTTCTAATCTTATCTTGTTTAACTTGGAACATTCTTGTTACCTGTATAAATGTGGAATAAGAAGCATCTGTTGTCCATAGTGACCTTGATTTCTTCAAAATATTTTCTCATTAAGTTCATGCAAGACTCTAAAGTCAGAAGGATTTTAACTCATGGACACTGGAATTGCAGCTGCAACTTTCAGGATCCACTTGCTGAAAGGAAAAAAAAAAGTACTAAACAGAGAGATGCCAGAAAACAGTCATAATAATGATGACATCATGGATCCCTGAATCACCCAAGCTTAGTTTAGCTCTTTCTGACCATAACTGATTTATCTGGGAGTAGGAGTTGGCTCTTCATTATATTATGTGCCTAAATGGCAAAATCAGTTTGCTATTTGTGGTTGAAATGAATGGCTCTTGTGAGAGGTTTAAAGCTCTTCTAAAGTGAAGTAGTTATCATTCTTGGAGGAAAAAAATAAAAAAAAGGTATTACAGGTTCTAAAACCTGTGCCCAGTGAGATCTAAGAAAGAGCAGGTTAAATTACAACAGCTAAATATCACCTGGGAGATTAAAAGAAGAGACTCTTACAAAACTAAAGTTCAGGAGAATGAGGAATATTCTCAACCAGCCGTTCCTCCACAGCCTGGCACACTGGTCAGCCTTGTTCAAAAGAAGCAGGTTCCCAGCAGCGATGGGAACACACTGGCTGTGGCAGTGGCCTTCCTGTGTCCGTATGCTGGGTTTGCTTTCCATGTCAGTTCTGAGTGGAACCTTCTCTGGAAAAATGAAGAAGATGATGTGCATTGTAGAAGTTCTGGTCAATGTGAGAAGAGAGAAAATCTTGTCCACCTGTGTTCTGGTGGGTGAGGAAGACTGAACTGGTGTTGAACAGGAACTCAGCAAACAGGAGGCTGCTGGGAAATAAGAAATAATGGCTCAAGTAGAGTGTCATAAGCAGCTTTCACTGCTGCAGCCCAGCACACACCGTGGGAGGCACAATGGGGAAGCACAGTTCCTCCAAATGCTACAGAGAGTAGAGGCACTCTCCTATTCGTTTTGGGAAAAACTGTGTTGCCCATGTCATCACTTAGAAATATTCCAAAAAAAAGAAGTAGGAGGTCGTTTTTAAGGGACATAGGACGAGTAAGAAATAGATGATTCTTTCATACTCAGATGCAGCAAAGGTAGTGACATTATTTAAAATGACCAGAAGAAGAAAACTTTGTTCCCATTAAAGCCAAGACTGAGGTATGATGGCATAAAGATATCATTAGATGTCTGGGACACGTGTAGAGGGATGTGACTAAAGAAGGGTCAAGGACCAAGAGGAAAGTTAGGGAGAAATTAAGAATTAAGCTTGGAAGTGAACATTATTATTCTGCAAAAGTATGTCAAGAGAAGAGCAATGACTGAACCCCAGAGTGCTGGTCTGAGAATGGGAGTAAAACTGAAAAGAAATTGCTGTAGGACCTGTTAGCAGCATAAAAGGAAATTGAATGCACAGTGTTATAAAAAGGGAACGCAATTGTTACACTTGAAAAAGACCAGGCAGGGTACTCGCAGAAGTGTGTGAGCAAAACATAAGCTGCATCCATTGACTCTGAAGTTGACCTATGAAAGTCAAATAAATCTCGGTTGCAGTGATTCGAACAAGGTTTAAATAATCATCGTAGATAGTGGCAGAAAAAATTCTCCCAGATGAATGGTACCCATTTTGAGAGGTGTATTTTGCAGTTCCCTGAAGTATTGAGTGAAACAAGATCAGGTCCTTTTTCTTTCACTAAGGGTTGTGCACGGTCTCCTCTGGCAGAGGAATGTGCCTCATGATAGCCTTTGATTATTTTCCATTTTCTTTTTCGTGTAGTCTCTTCCATGAGCTTTGGGAACTCTTAGTAACAGTGTACACAAGAAACTAGCTAGATCAGCTTATTCTCTTTGAGCTTTTTAGGCTAACTTTGGGAAAGATTATTTCAAATACGTTACAACTTAAAAATAAGGAAGACAGAGTAGGTGATTTTTCATATGTTCATTTCAAAATGACATCAATGAATAAAATCATTTCACTGAGAATTCTTACTTGATAGAAAGACACACGTTCTATCTGCTGAAGAAAAGAAAAAATGCAGATTTGGGTCAAAATGTGGATGACTTAGAATGTAAATTAGTTGACTGACATAGTCACCTGAGAAACGTTCACACTATAGAATATAGACCATAGTCTAAAATTTATTTTATTTTTCCACATTTGATATATACATCTACAAGATAAATGCAAATAAAATCGCATTATGGGGAAAGTCCAACATTTACATTTCATATGAAATGACAGAACTACCTGTAGCCAAATTCACATTTCAATACATGGTTAGAAAATTTTTTTGTTAGTTTCTTTTTGAAGAAACGAGACACATGAAAGTGACTGAGATATCAGCATACAATTACAGAAATGTAATGCAAATGACCATCAAAGTGTGGCTTGTAGACTCCAGAGATTGTAAAAATCTTGTGCATCCCAGAAACTAAGACTGTAAAATCTTCAGCAAACTCTAGATGATAGGTCTATAACCACAAGAAGAGCGAAGCTGTTCCACTGGCATGCCAGGAGTGGCGAGTATATAGTGGAAAATGGCTCAAACTTGCTTGAGTCCAATCCAGGATGTTTTATTTTTGCCACAGAAAACCTACCGAGACTTCAGATTGCAAGGTGTGATGGAGGGAACCCTGAACAGTAAAACCTACGACACCGTTCACAGCCGTCTGACGGTGGAGGAGGCCACGGTCTCAGTCACGGACGCGGGAGGACTTCAAGGCATTACTATGAAAGACAGTGATGAAGAGGAAGGATGATGTTATTTCACCAAGTGTTTGGAGTTCTGGGGTGATGGCCTGAGGGTGAGGGTTAGCTTTGGCTTGGGGTTTTTTTTGGTAACTTGTCCCTGTAGTTGCATTTATAGTTTTGCCTTATGATATAGGTGCAGAAATGTAATTTGCTCCATTTCTAAAAAAAACTGAAAGTAAGATCATCAGAAGAAAAGTGCCAAGGACTTTTTGAGAACAACGGTTGTAGCATATTTTAATGTATAGCTTTGCTTAGGGCTGCAAAAACACTGGCATGGAGTTTGAGTTCCATTCGTGATTACATTTCTTTCCCTTTCCTTTGTTACCATTTGTTCTTGTATCTCCATCAGGTATTGATGTCCTGTGCAGAAAACAAAATGTGTGCCTCACTTAAAACTATACAGGAAATCATTCTTGGAATAAGTCAGTGCCCTAGGTAAAAAAAAAAAATAATTAAAAAATAGTGTATTTTCAGGATTACACTTTGTTTACCTTTTTTTTTGCTTAATTTTGCATTATTATGTGATGTGCATTAAAAATTTTGATCTTGGTTCTTTGTACTTTGAGGTTGGTATATAAGTAGTAGGACTTCAAGGACAGTCAAACGCATCAAACTACTAGGAGTGTTGTTGTGTCTATTCATTTTGCAAGTTTAAAGATATCTCATCATGTTGGATGTCAGTAAGCTTGCCATCAATGTTTCTATTTCTGTGAAAAATATCAGGCAATAAGAACACATTTTGTCGTGACCACTTCTGTATCTACCCAAGTTTGTATAGAATTCTACAATTAAAAGATGTTTTCAATATTTCAAACCATTTGAACTGTTGTATGATTCCTCATGAGAGCAAGGGTTTTTTGAAAGATTATTATATTTGGTTTAATATAGTGATTTAGAGCGAATCTGCTTTACAGACCAAACACATAACAAACAAATATCCAAGGACATGATACCTTTATAAAGAAAAAAAGCAAACAAAAAACCCTCAGTAGCAGACTAACAGACAGTGCCTGTGCCCATTTTCCTATGCCCTTGATATGAGCTAGAAAGAATTCAGTTTTTCATCAGTCAAAACCCACACAGCTTTAAAAATGCAGGGGTGGAGGTTTGGGGGGTTTTTTTGTTTGTTTGGGTTGCTTGGGTTTTGGGTTTGTTTTTTTTTGTGAAAGCATGCTTAATTCCAGGGTTTATGTAGACAAAGTTGGAAAGAAGACAGAATAGGAAAACAATATCCAAAGAAGCGATATCCAAAGAAATAAGGAAGGTTGCTGAGGTCTTCACTGAGCCTTACAGTTATACTTGAAAGGTTTTGCTGATGGACTGCTGAGGAGTTGCAGGGTTTCCTGTGAGATTTTCCTGTGAAAACAGGCCGAAGGACTTCAGGGTCCATTGCAAGCACACGGGACTGCAAGAATGGAGAATAAGAGCTTTAAAGAAAGTCCTTTGTAGCACACTGGGAAGCTCAGCCAAACAGGGAAGGGCAGGTAGTGCTTCTTCCTAGCTCGTCTAGGGAGAAACCCAGAGTGGCAATTTTTTTCTGTGGCAAACCAGCCTCCTCATCTGCCTGAGTCTTGAGGTAAACTCAGTGAAAAGAGAGAAACGGGAGCTGGTGGGGATGGCTGTTCTCAGCTCTTCATGTGGCAACTTTGCCCAGAAGTACAGGGGCGGGGGCTGGGCAGGCCAGTGTATGAAAGCTGGTGGCATTTGAAGGGCCAGCTGGGGCTCTGACTGAAACCGAGACTCGATAAGGCGTAGCCCACCAGGCCAGGAGGTGGAGCCTCAGCCCCAGTCTGACCGTGACAGGCAGCAGGGTGCGAAGGAAGCCAAGCTGCCCAACGTTAACACCCAGCTCCCAAACCCACTAAGGAAGAGAGATCAGTGCTGGCCAGGCCCAGAGAGAGCTTTGTCTCTGCAAGCATCCTCCTGCTCGCCCTCTCCCCACCATCTTTATCTCCTTGAGAGCCCTTAGGGCTGCCTATGGAGGAGCCAGTTGTAAGTAAGTGAAGGCAAATATCACCGTGGTGGCCCTGTGGTGCCTACCAAGGCCTCCCAGTGCGGGGGCATGTCAGCATCATGCAGGGCTCTCCTAAGAAGGCACTAGGAGATTTTTAAGGTTCTGAGATGACATGCGTCTAGGAAGTGATACCAAAACTGGACACTGTCCCTGGCAAGTCACTGTCAGTGACAGAAACACTGGGACAGAACTGACTGTCACCAGCACAGTTCAGGAGGTGATGGGTCCAACTCTTCTTCAGCAGAGACCAACCTGGCAGTAACCCATCTGCCCAGCCCTGCTAGCCAAAAGCCCTGAGGGAAACATACTCCTGCTCTGTCGATCTGTCCTCTGTCCCAAGTCATCCCCACACCGAGAAGGCTTTCCTGGTAAGGCAAATAGCTCTCCCATCAATTTGGACAATTACAGAGTAGGTTATAGTAATTTCACCTGTCAAGGTGTCAAGAGGCCATCATCGTCCAGACAGACCTTACCTGGGACCTCCACCCACAACCACTGCCCAGGGACTTCTCCTCAGCTCAGTCCCTGCCGCAGCAGTGGGGCAGGAGTGACAGTTTCTCACTCAGCTACAGCCCCACCTGTGCTTGCTTATGGGCCCTGTTGATCCAGACAAACCCTGATCCATGGATTGACTTCAGACCTGCCAGCTGATCACAAACAGATGAGTGATCTGGACTTCGGATTCCTGCAGCTCTCTCCCTGCCCTGGCCTGCCCTGCTCCCTGGCTGGAGGTGATGGGACCAGCCCTGGCTGGTGGGGCCGTGCCCTGCTGGCTTGGCGAGTCCCCGCCAGCTCCCTCCCCTTTAGCAACCCTTTCTATACCTTGACAACATCCTTAAAAAATAAAAAATAAAAGATTTAAAAGTGTGGCTTGAAATGGGTCTTGAGTTACTCAAATTTTATGAAGCGTGTTACACATTATAAGCTTGCCCTTATGTCGAGCACTTTGCTGTACAATTTCATTTGCGTGCAGTACTCACATGTCTGTCAGTAAGATCGAGATGCGTAAGGAAATAGTAAAAAAAGCAAAGATGATGTAACCATGAAGAACTTAGAAGTTGTTTGCGATTTCAGAGAAATTAACTCAGACACAAAGTATGTGATAAGTTGGTATTATTAGAAAGGCAGCACAGCAGACATCGCAGGAAGGCAGGTACAGAAATGACGGCGCTCCAAAGGTCATTCCGTTTCTTATTAATTCGCATATTTTCTTCATAACTAGATTGGTGAAACCGTGAACCAAGGCCGAGCTTGAGAAGGCCAGTGAGTATCTGTGTGACAGCTCTGGAGTCAGGCGCCGCCGACGCCA